ATAATTTGCTGTTGATGAAACCTTAAAGTGCCTGTGACATCAACTTTTTGTAAGAAATGTGAATATGTTTTTGGAAAGACAACATTATTGACATGTTATGAAAGGAATTTCACGATGCTCAGACAGACGGTTGCTGAGATATTTGCATTTGAAGCAACAGGAAGTGATGTCAGAGGAATGTGCGTGTGAACGTTTAAAAAAATGTTACCAATTATTTTAATATTTGAGACAAATTACAATCATCCTATTTTCAATGTGCTAACATTTTTAAGACAGACTGATTTAAGACATTTTAAGGCTAATTAAGGCCTTATTTTTGGATTGATGAATTCAAGGCCTTTTAAGTCTTTTTAAGGATTTGCAGGAACCCTGCATGTAAATTTATTGAGTAATTTTTTATGTCAATATAAAGAGGAAACCTCAAATATTATTTGTATATTAAGATTTCCCAGTTGAAAAGAAACAAAAGCATTGTTAGCCCACAGGGAAAAATTCTAAATTTTAATGCGTTTTTCCTCAAAATCAGTTTTTTTGTTGCTACTGCTCAAAAAAAAAGCTTCAAAATGTTTTTTTCAGGATTATATTTCAAACAGTTCATTGAAATGATTCATTGATAAGACATTAATTCATTATATTTTGACAAAATGTAATTTTTGCACATTTAAATCAAAACCCTTTAACTGCCCGTTTCTCCACGTTTGGACTTMATCCTGGTTTCGATGTGACGRCTCACATTTTTAGTCTGAAGGTTCCTTTATGTGAAAAGTGCAGTCCGTTACGCAGCAACTTTTTACCGTTTTTCCTCTTTTCCCACAGACCAATATGTCAGCCTCCCCCCCCCCCGCAAACACCTGGATGTGCAACTGCAGGTTCCTCACCTGTCTCCTCTCGCGGCGTGTCAAGGTGTTTCCATTCAGGACCTTCCACAGCAGCCGAGCGGCGATGGTGGTGTCGATCCACAGCAGCCTGAAGCCGTGGTAGTAGTGCTTGATTTCGCTGACGACCCGATGTCTGATCGTCCGTCTGACGGGTTCCGAGTCCAGCGTGGGGCTGTAGACCGGACCCCCTTCCTCCAGCTTCTTCTTGTCCTTTAACGAGCGCAGCGACTTCTCCAGTTTGGAGTCGTCCCATCGCCTCCTGGACGTGTGGATCCACCGGACGCCGGGGAAGTCCTGCAGGTGGGCCGCTGTCCTGTGGGTCCCCGCTGTGGCAGCAGGGTGCAGGGACCAGAAGCACCCTGCTGCTGAAGCGCAGTGAAGCCGCCGCAGGTCCAGGTTCTGACAGGACCCTACGTGTTCATCGGACGAAGGGAGGGGCGGACACACGGAGGAGGACTGGGTCAGGCTGCCGAACCGGAGCCCGTCGAGCCTAAAGGACGACAAGTTACAACAAAAATGTAATTTATAATAAAATAACACCTGTTTTCTTTATAAACAACCAAATACATTCTGTTTCCTRTCATTTTAACAAAGTGTGCACATTTTATTGGCTTACCTGTGACAGGTGAGTCTGAGGGCTGTGCAGCTGAAGTAGGATCCATCCTGGAGTTTCCCTTTAAAAATACAGAAGACTTGAAGTTACACACACACACACACACACACACACACACACACACACACACA